TGTGTGTGTGTGTGTGTGTATGTGTGTGTGTGTGTATGTATGTATATATATATATATATATATATATATATATATATATATATATATATATATATAAACTATGAAGACCATGTCCAGGTAGCTAGCATGAATTGAGAAGAAAAGAGGCCTACAGACCAGGCTCTGGCTCACTTTAACAGTTCAAGGTGGAAAGAGACTGTGTTCCAGAAGTCTCCTCCTCCAGACAGGAGGCCTACAGAACTGTGATTCAGAAAAAGGAGAGCCTTCCTCTACTGACAGGTGCAGGTCTTTGAGCTTTGTAGACGTACTAAAGGTTGGGATGAGTGAGAACCTTGGTGGACACTCCCTTGCTAGTAAATTTTAATGAGCATTGGATCCCAGGTGGTATGAGGAAGAAGCTCTCTCACCTGAAAAGCCACAAGCTAAAGCGCTCTCACCTGAAAAGCCACAAGCTATTTCCTTTGAACAACATGGTAAAATATATTTTAAACAAGATACAGCTATTTAATGCTGCCCTGTGGCGAGAGGACTGGCATGGGAAAGTTTTCAATGCCCATCTGACCACCATATCTAAGAATTCAAGATTCTCACCTCCAGAGGAGCAACAGTTCAATAGACACAAAGCAGAAGCCTTTCTACTTTGGGAAAAGTGCCAAGATACCATCCTAGAGGAAAAAACTGGGCATCCAGAGCAATGTTGATTAATGGCACACTGTAAGTGGAGAGAATTAGATTTTTTTTTTTTAATTTTTCTACCTGGACTTTGTGATCTAGAAACATCATTATCATTTTATTTTATTTTAATTTTTAGGAGTCAGGGGATATAATAAACATGACTCTGAATCAGCAGGGTTGAAGAATAAAGTCAGAAATATTATGTTCATTTAGCATCTTCTTTAATTTGCATAGCTTTTGGGGGGAGAAAATGACTATTTATATAGATTTGATTATCTGAGATTACCCATGAATATATTGCTTAGGGAGTATGCTGCATAGTTAATACTGCAGCAAATTATAGAAGTTATCCCCATAATAGAGCAAAGAAATCTATGTCCCAATGGGAAACATTTATGGCAGTGTAGAGAAGTCATTTCAACAACTAATGATTCTGTTGTATTCTCCCCAAATAGTTTCTTACCTTTTGATATCTCTACCTGGGTTCTGCATTGGCTTTTAGTAGCAGAACAGGTGACTTCACTACACATTAAGCTCTGCTCTAATCTAACATTTCATGTTACAGCAAAAATGTGAATTTAACATGCAGCTGCCATATTTTTCTGGAGACTATTTGGAAAATTGGCATATAGAAAAAGTAATCAGTTTTGAGGTGTTGGATATGAGGAATTGGTGAATTACAAAACACATTAGAAACAAAGACTTGATGTAGGGAAAGTATTTTTATCCTTTTTAAAAGAAATGCATTTGGTAGAATGAACTGCTGCTGCCTTTTCAGAAAAAAAAGACTGATTTTGGACAATTGTCACAAGAGGTCTAATTCTGTATTTATTATTCCAATTTCCACATATACTCCTCCAGCATTATAAACCCAGGCCATCAGTGTGTGCTACCTTGGGCACCATTTGATTCAGTGACTTAAGCCCTAGGGAAAGTAGACCCCCAAACATATTTCCTTATACTAATCCCAGAAGCAATGGCAACCGTGATGTTTAGCTTCTTTAGTTGAATATATTTTCTAAATATAACAATATAAGATTGTTAATATTTTAAGATTTCCTCCTGCTTGGTTAACTTATGGTAAGTTTTGGAGAAATATTCAAAGTACACATCAGATGCACAACTGAGCAGAAATGAGATTGAAAAAGTCTGCCCTCCTGCAAGGATCAAGAGTCGTCTAGGAGTTGGGTGCAGTGGCTGAGGTAGGAGGATGAAGAGTTCAAAGCCAGCCTCAGAAAAAGTGAGGTAGGTGCTAAGCAACTCAGTGAGACCCTGTCTCTAAATAAAATACACAATAGGGCTGGGGATGTGGCTCAGTGTTTGAGTGCCCCTAAGTTAAATCCCCAGTACCAAAAAAACCCGAGTTGTCTGGAAGGTTGAATAACCCTGTTCACTAAAGGAAGAATGAGAATTCTTTCTAAATCCTTTGCCTCATCCATTAATTGGGCTGGACACCAAAACTATGTGGGTCCTTTTAATCAGGACCCCCCTAAGTGGTCAGGCTGTTGGAAAATACTACCATATATTGTGTCTGACCAGAGAAAGTCTGAAGACTTCCACGGTTACTCAGAATTATTCAAGGTAACTATGGATTTATACTGGTCAGATCATCTTAAATTATTCAACATAAACAATGATCTTAAGAGCCACAATTATATTGAATTATTTATGAGAATTCTATTGATGCTTGACTAGATGGAAAATTTATATCCTAATATTTTCTCCAATCTTACCACAATTCTGAATGGTAAGTATGGTTGTCCCTATTTTACAGATGCAGAAACTGAAGCTCAGAGAAGTTAAGTCACTTTTCCATAGTAACTGAGATGATAAATATCCATGGAGAACTGCAACTGGTGAATTCTAATGAAATACAGTCATACACCATAAAATGACATTTGGGTCAACGATGGAGCACATATACCATGATGCCTGACTGTACATGACATAAATTGTACTTGTTTTCATTTTAAACCCCAAACCAAGATTGCCAACTATGACTAGCTACTAGCAATCATAACAACTTGATCAAGACTGTGATATTTGTGGAAAATAGAGTGATTGGCTTCATTAGCCGAGCTAGATTTTCTTCCAGTCCTGTCTTTTTCCAAGCCTGCTCTAATTGTGTCCTTGGTCTGCTACTGGGCAGAGAATGAGTGCCTTCTATGCTCAGAGTTGAGTCTTTATGTCTGTCAAGATGCAACTAATGCTAGGGAACAGGCTAGAATTTCAATTACAATAAGCTGTGATATAAAACAGAGTCATTGGTGAGTTTAAAATACACATTTCTGGGCTCTACCCCTAAACCTTCCATTGGGTCGATTATGGGTCTCCAACTTATGCATTTTTCAACAAATTCCCAGGTAATTCTGAGGCTCATCAAAGTTTTAAAAAATAGTGCTATTAATATTTGGTGTGATGATGCTTTACTCAGAATTCTGAGTCAACATAATGAGCTACAGTTGTAGCGTGGAAGAGAAATTCATTTTATAAGGGATGCATGAAGGCTGTCTTCAAAATGTGCACTTGGTCTGCTCACTTTTGTCAAAAATACTTCTCTCTATCCTGATCAATGTCTATTTCCTATTTACTCCCACTAATACTTAGATCAAAAGAATAGTTTATCAAGTATCTATTAAGTATCTTAGTTACCTAAACATACAGTTTCATGGAAATAATCCAAACCTTTTTCAATATAAAAGACAGATATTTTGTTCTTGAAGATGATTTGGTATTTTGTTTTGTGCTTTTGAAAGCATTCACTCTAAAGGGAAGCTGATCTGAACATTTATTCATCAAACTGATTGGCTCTCTCCGTGGAGGCCCTTTGGGAATGCATGCCTGTCAGCACAATGACACTGACCAGCTTTATAACCTTGAGAAGGGCCATTATTTGACAGCACATTATTTGGTAACACACTTATTTATCTCTGGTCTCGCATCCTTCACAGGCCTGGTTCATTATCACAGCCCTTAAAATTGTAGGAAAGAAAGGATCAAGAAGGCAAATGACCTTCCGCTTTGGGGGGAATTAGATAGAAGGCATTCTGTACCTGGCACTGAAGTCCCAAGTGCAACAAACACGACGGCGGTCACAGAATCTTTCAGGCCAATGGTGCAACCAAAGTGGGAAGCCAGATCTCCAATGAAAGCTGTCAGTAGGCCAATCATGAGAATGGAGACAATGAAGCATGCCCAGCCATTCCAGTATTCCGTAGGAGGGACGAAGGCAAACAGGACCTTCCAGAACACAGTCAGAAAGTGCATCACGTAATCAAAACAGGAGGGCAGCTTCTCCTCCCCACATTCATCGTCGTCATCATCTTCCCCTGGAGAGAAAGGAATGAAGCACATTTCATTATGACCCAGGTCTTCCTCCTTCCTAACCTGTCATCCCTCCCCTCCAAGAGATAATTGGCCATCAGAGTTGGGTGAGGCTTAGGGTTTTCTAAGGGACGATGAACCATTACTTATCAAGGCACTCAAATGCCTCCTTATTGTGCTGGTTGGTCAATGGCAAAAACTTACCCCCACCTGGGTCTGCTTATGTGCAATCAGTATGCCCTTTCTACACTCATATCACTTCCTGTGGGGTTTGTCATAGCAGAGAAATAAAAAAGAATTTCTTCCCCCAGAGTTGCCTCTTTTGAAGACAGTTATTGTGGTCAGAGTCTACTAGGGATCTTTTCTCCTACTCCAAATCAATGATTATATAATTACCATCAGGATAATATTCATACAAGGCCTCAACCCACAATGGTGGCCCTTGTGTGTCACTCCAGCTTCATTTCCTATGACTACCTCAAAATCAACCTTTATCATGAATAAGTGAAATTATTTGCATTGTTTTCAAACCGTATGCACTTTCTCCCACTTTCACCCTTTAGAACTAAAGTTGTTCAGTCCCTCCTTCCTTCTCCTTCCCCCTTGTTCCTTAATATTAATTTCCATGATGTTCTCTCAGATCTCCCCCACCCTAATCAGGGCTGGACACACTTTCTCAGAGTGTCCATAGCTCCCAACACTTTGGACTCTTGGTCAGTGATTCTCAAAATGTGCTCCCTAAGCCAGCTGCATCAGAAGCCCTTGGGTGCTTATTAGAAATGACAGTCCTCAGCCCCACTGATTCAGAAACTTGGAGGAGTGTGTAATAATAAATCTGGCCTTGAATAAGCCCCTCCACATGATTCTTATATGTTCTGCAGTTTGACAACTGCTGTTTTCTCTTAATTGTACCTATTTACTTTCCCCTCTTCTCCAGTTGACTGTGAACTCTTCATTTATCTTTGTGCCTCTAGTGTTTGGTACAATCTCCCTCAGGTAGCTAAATGCCTCTTAAATGAAAGAATTCATTCATGAATTTCTACCAATTTTATGTCAGTATATAATTCCAAAATATACACACAGATCATAATTCCTTATTGAGTCATATTTGAAATGCACAAGAAAATAGAAAATTTATAATAATATTTTCAAGTGGAGATTTCATTGATAATGTGAAAATAATCCCCATTCATGTAATTTAAAATTAGGATATTGAATTTCAACTTTTCTAGACGTGGTAGGAGATATATAGATTCACATATTTTGTGGCCATTTTGAAAACAACTTCTTGAAGACTTTGTTCACCTGCTCCAATTTTATCACGAGGGATCTACTTTTTACTTCCCCCAACTAACGCAGCTGGCAGTAGGTGGGGCTGTCAACTTTCCAGGTGTCTATATGACCAGAGATTGCCAGTATGGAGCAAATGTGCACTTCGTGAGACACCCCATGGTGAGGCCATCTGGTGCAAATCACGAGTGGGTAAACCCTCTGAAAACGAGGAAGCTTCAAGTAAAGAGTGCTTCTCACAAAACATGAAAAGAAGAATGTCTGGGTCTGTCACTTGTCACCTTACAGAAAAAGAGAGAAGTAGCAATGGCCTACTCTTCCAGGAGCATGTGGTCTGACCTATTATGTAAAACTTGGGGATCTGTCTCCTCCAGCAGATGAGCAGGACAGCCTTTGGGATCTGATTAGGTACAGAACTTGAGTGAACTTTGCTGACTGATACGTATGGGGGTGTAAAAAGCACCAATGTCCTCCTCCTCCAAGGGCTCAGGCTATATGGTTATTACACATTTCTAAGAAGCTTGCCTAAAAGCACAAGGTGCTTCTTAATAAACTCACCTGGTATGGGCTGCACTGTCTCCCCCAAATTCATATGTTGACACCAATGTCCACCCCAATGCTTAGAATATGACCTTATTTAAAAAACAGGGCCTTTAAAGAGGTAATTAAGTTAAAAAGAGGCCCTCTGGGTGGGCCCTAATCCATTCTGATTGGTGTCCCTAATAAGAAGAGGAAATTGAAACACAGAGAGACACCAGGATGTGTGTGCACAGAGGAAAGACCATGTGACGATGCAGCAAAATATAGAATTTGCAAGCCACGAAGAAGTGGTGTCTGGAGGAACCCAGCTTGCTGACACCTTGATCTTGGACTTCCAGCCTCCTGAACTCTGAGAAAACAAATTCCTGCTGTTTACACTGCCTAGCCTATGGCAGCCCTGGCAAACCAATGCAGCAGGCCTTCAGGAGCCTCTTATGTTATGGTATTTAAGTGTAGTATATACGTATCACCACATCACACTCATTCCCTAGACATGTACCATTATGATACATCAATTAAAAAAAATAAAACAATTAGTGTTCTTATTACCCAGTCTTTCAATCTTTTCCCGTGTCTTTATACATTTCTTCTTTTTAATGTTTTTTTTTTCCTTTCTCTTTCCTTCCCACTCCCTTTTATCCTACACTTTGGCTCTAAGTAAAACACAGGATCAAAAGTCTAGTTTTCAGGGCTGCCTCTGCTTTCTCTGCCTCTTCTCTTCCCCCACCATCCATTCTAAAAGGGAGCACGTGTATGCTGGGGGATTCAGAAAGATCACTAGAATTTCTAGTTATATTTATTTTGTATCCAATCTTTTTAAATTTCTCTATTTGTGGGCATTTTATAATTTCTAGGGCAAATGATTAAAGTGCTTGGAAAACATTGAATTGTTATCCAACATTCATAGAAACATGCTATTCTGCCTCTGACTCTGCAAAATTACTTAATTTTAGGTGACTAAGTCTTATATTTTGAAGATGAACAAGAAAATAAACAAGCTTTTCAGAAGAAATGACACTTAGAAATAGAGAGTAGATATTATATTTGTTTTCAAGATGGAAATAATAACACCTTTCCTGTGAGGGAGGTGCAGGGGAATAATTAGATCATCTCTGCAAAGTGTCTGAGGATGTTTCAAGGTGATGATTATCATGGTAGTTATCATTATTTTCCTCCACTTAGGATTGCCACTGTGTTTCCCATCATTATTTAATTGCTTAGTCAACATGCTGGGTCCTAAGGTTACATTTTAGCTTTTTTTTTTTTTAAACAAAATTAAATCTTACCCTTGAAAATTAACTTCATGATCTATTAATGTCAAAGTGGTGGATATGAAAGCAAGAGAGAGAGAGAAGGGTGTGTGTGGGACTGGGGAGATCCTTCTGTAGGACTCCAGCATTAGAAGAAATCTTAAATGTTTTAATGCTTAAGTCTGGCCTGGGTGGTTCATTTATTTTCCAGCATTTGAAAGTAGAAGTAACTTTCCAGTCTTTTTGCTGGAATTTCACTGACTTTATAAATTTTATCTTCAACTGAGAAGTCATTTAAATATTAAAAATGACCACTGACTGCCATGCATAATGCATGATTGCCCTGTCTTGGGGAAAGACACATAAATATTATGAGCATCCATCACCACCTGGACTGTATTTAAAAGTCTGTTTCCTGCAAAGAGCAGTGGAACATAAAAAATAAAAACAAAATAAACAACAACAGCAAAACAACAACAACAAAAACCCAAGCCCTGGGAGCAACTTTTATTTGACAGCAAAAATGATAGCAATCTGCCAGCTCTGCATGCTTACTAGCACAGGGTTACTGGAAGCTACATAATTCTTTCAAGGACTTCCTCTCTGTGAGGCAAAGAAACAGGTTGGTGAGTGTGCTTTTACAGGATCCCAAGTAAACCCCTCTTATCTCAGAATCTTTTTTTTTCAACTTTATGGGTTCCATTAATGGAAAGACAAACAAGCTGAATTTGAGTAATCCCTCCCATGGCCTTTTAAAGAGCTTCCTTGATATATGTTGGGCTTCCTGCATATCATTACAGAAAAATAGCCAAATCATTAAAAGTGCAGATAATGGAGATGGTGTCACTTCAATTACTGATGTGACAGTACTACAGGCACTGTCCAGCTCTGGAGCAGGGGGATGAGAGCATCATCATGTAACATCTCATGAAAGGCACCCCCTGGGCTTGGTACTCACAGGTAACCTTCTAAAATAAACAGGTGATTCTTGATATCCTTCCCTAGATGCTCACGGTTTGTCCCTGGGGAGATTTTTGAAAAACAGAAAAAGAAACTGCCAAGGTGTGGTGGACATTTGGGTCAGAAACTTTAAAATTCCACTTCTGGTTCTTGTAGCTTATTGGGGGCAAGACACAAACTTTCTGAGCTTCCGTTTCTTGTCTGTCAAATAAATGTCCAAACTCACACAATATAGAGCTGTTGCAAGGACCAGAGGAAGAAATGTCCAAGTCCTTTGTAAAACTGAAAGTCTCTTTACAGATAGATGTGTCATATTCCATTATTGTTACTTGTTGGAGGAAAGGCAGTAAATCAATATGACCCATGTATCCTGATTTCATTGGGTCTATATTTCTGTTTGAGTAAGTCATTATCATTACAGTTCCCTGAGCTGCTTAATTTTAGGAAAAGAAAAGAAGGAAGCAACAGAAAGAGGGAACATAATGGAGCGTCTACTACGTGACAGGCACTGAGTGAGATTCTTTCACATACCTAATTCTATTTCATTTGTACACTAATCTTGTAAGGTAGGCATTAATCCTGTTGTACGTAGAAGAACTTGAATTTATAGAATTTAAGTGATTTTTGTATTGTTTTGGTTTGTTTTTGTTTGTTTGGTACCAGGGATTGAATTCAGCTGTGCTTAACCACTGAGCCATATCCCCAGGCAATTTTTAAATTTTTTATTTTGAGACAGGTTCTCCCTAAGTAGCTTAGGGTCTAAATTGCTGGGGCCCTTTAACTTATGATCTTCCTGCCTGTCAGTCTCCTGAGCCTTTGGGATTATAGGCGTGCGCCCCATGAGGGACTTCAGTGACTTTTTAACATGACCACTCAGTTCCTCTACATGTGATGCCTTCTTGAAGCAAGCTGAAGAAAATAGCATCTATTACATACTGATTTAATTCTTCTAATGTCTGGTGCTG